CAAGTAGCTCCGGAATGTCTCTTGAAGACATTGTCAAATCTCTAGCTACTAGTACCCAACAATTCCAAAAAGAGACAAAGACTAGTATCTCCAACCTTGAAGCACAAATGGGAGATATAGTTACATCCATAAGCAAGTTGGAATCCCGTGGTAAACTCCCTTCTCAAACCAAAAAGGACCAAAATGTCAATGTGGTGACCTTGAGAAGTGGCAAACAAGCCAGAGAAAGTGGTTCAAAGAAGAAGCCAAGAGAAGAAGAGGAAGAAATAGAGATCATCCCCATTAAGGATCCCATAGCCAAGAATGACACACAAGCCCCAAAGAAGACTACTCCTCTAGTGACACCAATAGCCACTCACCCACCGTTCCCCTCCCGACTTGCAACTTCAAAGAAGAATATGGAAGAGAAAGAGATTTTGGACACCTTCCGGAAGGTGGAAGTAAACATCCCTTTACTTGATGCAATCAAGCAAATCCCAAGATATGCAAAATTCTTGAAAGAACTTTGTACCAACAAGAGAAATTTAAAGGGAAATGATAAAATTTTGATGAATGAAAACGCATGCGCGGTTTTACAAAGGAAACTCCCACCCAAGTGCAAAGATCCCGTAATGTTCACGGTCCTTTGCAAGATTGGAGATGTCACCTTTAGTATTGCTATGCTTGATCTTGGTGCCTCTATCAATGTCATGCTTTACTCGGTGTATGAATCATTGAATGTCGGACCCTTAAGAAAAACCGGTGTCATAATATCTCTTGCGGCTAAATCAAGTGTCTTTCCTAGAGGTGTTTTAGAAGATGTCCTAGTTCAAGTAAACCAATTGGTCTTCCCGACAGATTTCTATGTGATCGACCTAGATGAACAAGTATCCTCCAAATCGGGTATAATCTTACTTGGGCGACCATTCGTGAAGACGGCTAGAACAAAAATTGATGTGTATGCAGGAAGGTTGACAATGGAGTTTGATGGTGAAACAATAAGTTTCAACATTTATGATGCTATGAGATATCCTAGTGATGTTTCCTCTTTGTGTTTTGTTGATATTATTGAACCAATGACCCAAGAGTTGTTCGAGTTGTGTGATGATGACATGTTGGAGATGATCTTGAGCAAGGGGTTTGACCGTGCAAAATTAGCCAAGAAATTGAACCTTTATTCGCTAGACCCCGAAATTGAAAGATTAGTCAACAGTCTGGAGATCAAGAAGACCACCCAATTTAGTGTGAAACAAATTGAATTACCTCAAACTCACACGAGATTGCCACCCTCCCTTGTCCAACCGCCAGAAGTAGAATTGAAGGTCCTTCCTCAACATTTGAAGTATGCGTACTTAGGAGACAACGAGACCCTTCCGGTTATCATTTCAACTCACCTAACCAAGTGTGAAGAAGAACAACTCCTCAAGGTGCTGAGGGAACATAAAGAGGCCATGGATTGGACGATTGCGGATATCAAGGGATTGAGCTCCTCCACTTGTATGCACAAGATCCTAATGGAGGATGAATGCAAGACAAGTAGAGACGCGCAAAGAAGGTTGAATCCGCCAATGATGGAAGTGGTCAAGAAAGAGATTTTGAAGCTCCTAGATGCGTGGATGATTTACCCAATCTCGGATAGCAAGTGGGTGAGCCCGGTGAAAGTCGTTCCAAAAAAGACGGGAATCACGGTGGTCGAGAACAACAAAGGTATGATGGTCCCTACCCGTGTGCAAAACGGGTGGAGAGTATGTATTGACTACCGCAAACTCAATGCAAGCACAAGAAAAGATCATTTCCCATTACCTTTCATTAACCAAATATTAGAAAGGTTGGCCAGGAAATCTCATTATTGTTGTCTCGACGGGTATTCCGGTTTTCACCAAATCCCGGTGGCACCGGAGGACCAAGAAAAGACAACATTTACATGTCCATTTGGTACTTTTGCATACCGGAGAATGCCATTCGGATTATGTAATGCCCCGGCCACCTTCCAACGTTGTATGGTTAGTATCTTTTCAGAATATGTTGAAAACATAATTGAGGTTTTTATGGATGATTTCACGGTATATGACAATTCTTTTCAAGAATGTTTGACCAATCTCACAAAAATTTTAGAAAGATGCATTGAAACTAATTTGGTTCTAAATTTTGAGAAATGTCATTTCATGGTGAGTCAAGGTCTCGTTTTGGGTCACATTGTGTCTGAAAAAAGGAATTGAGGTAGATAAAGACAAAATTGATGTTATTCAAAGCTTACCTTACCCGACTTGTGTTCGGGAAGTTCATTCTTTTTTGGGCCATGCAGGTTTCTACCGAAGGTTCATCAAGGATTTTTCAAAGATAACAAGACAAATGTGCCAACTTTTGCAAAAGGAGGTTGATTTCAAGATCAATGAGGCGTGCAAAGAAGCTTTTGACAAGCTCAAGGAGTTGCATACTCCGCCCCCATCATGCAAGAACCAAATTGGGATCTCCCCTTTTAGATCATGTGTGATGCAAGCAACTATGCGATAGGCGCCGTTTTGGGTCAAAAGAATGGGAAGGCCTCCCATGTGATCTATTATGCATCAAGGACACTAAACAATGCTCAAAGCAACTACTCTACCACGGAAAAAGAGCAATTGGCCATAGTGTTTGCCTTGGAGAAATTCAGACAATACCTACTTGGTACCAAGGTCATAGTGTATTCGGATCACGCAGCTCTTAAGTACTTGATGATGAAGAAAGATGCAAAGACGAGACTCATCTGACGGATCCTGTTGTTACAAGAATTTGACTTGGAAATTTGGGACAAGAGCGGATGCGAGAACCTCGTTGCCGATCATCTAAGTCGGATCACTTCAAATGAAACTCCTCTCCCATTGCGGGACGAGTTTCCGGATGAGCATCTCTTTTCCCTTACTCAATCTATTCCTTGGTATGTCGATATTGTTAACTTTTTGGTCACAAAAAGGTATCCCAACACATTCACACGTGCTCAAAAAGACAAGCTCAAAAGTGATGCAAAATAACATGTGTGGGATGAGCCTTATTTGTGGAAACATTGTCCCAATCAAATCATTAGGCGATGTGTACCCCAACAAGAGCAACAATCCATTTTGCAATTTTTTCATGAATTTGCTTGTGGGGGACACTTCAGACCTAGCTGGACTTTGAGAAAAGTCCTTGAGTGTGGATTATTTTGGCCAACCATGTCACGCGATTGTTATATGTTTTGCAAAAGTTCTGAGTGGTGCCAAAGGACAGGAAACATTTCGCATAAGAACCAAATGCCCCAAAATCCAATCCTTGTTTGTGAAAATTTTGACGTATGGGGGATTGATTTCATGGGCCCATTTCCCGTCTCATTTGGCAACGTTTATATTTTACTCGCGTTTAACTATGTTTCTAAATGGGTAGAAGCCAAAGCCACAAGATCGGACGATGCCAAAACGGTTATCGACTTTTTAAAGTCTAATGTTTTTACGAGATTTGGTGTGCCTAGGGATTTGATTAGTGATAGAAGGACGCACTTTTTCAACAAAATGATGGAGGCTCTATTGAAGAAGTACCAAGTGACCCATTGTGTCTCTACTGCCTATCACCCTCAAACGAATGGTCAAGCGGAGGTTTCGAATCGTGAAGTGAAGTCTATTCTAGAGAAAACAGTGAATCCGACAAGGAAAGATTGGAGTTTGATACTTGACAATGCCTTATGGGCCTATCGGACCGCGTACAAGAGCTCGATAGGAATGTCCCCATTTAGGTTGGTCTTTGGAAAGCCATGTCATCTTCCCGTCGAGTTAGAGCACCGTGCATTTTGGGCGGTCAAACAATGCAATTTCAACATCGATGAGGCGGGAAAGCATAGAAAACTTCAACTCCAAGAATTGGAGGAGTTGAGAAATGACTCCTATGAAAACTCAAGGATTTACAAGGAAAGGACAAAGCTTTTCCATGACAAGTCCATTAACCACAAATATTTCGAGCCGGGACATAGGTTTTTTCTCTATCATACGTGATTGAAATTATTTTCAGGAAAATTGAGGTCAAGATGGATAGGTCCATTTGTTGTGTTAAAAGTCTTTGAACATGGAGCGGTTGAAATTCAAAGTGAAGAAACGGGACAAATATTTAAAGTCAATGGGCATCGATTGAAACCTTTCTATGAAGGTTTTAATGCAAACATCTTAGAAGTCATCCAATTGGATGCCCCAGTGTACTGAAATCAAGAAGGAAGCACGTCTCGCTAAAGACGTTAAAGAAGGGCATTTTTTGAAAACTAAAGTTTTCAACTTTTCTAGTTCTAAATAAATGTCGTGGTTGGTTCATTTTTTTATTTAACATCTTTTCTTCTTCCTTATTGAGATAAAAGAATGTTGTAGTTAAGGGCCTGGTGTTCGTAATGGTGAAAGAGCAAAAAGATTGTTGGAATATGTCAAGCCAGCACACGCGGTCCGCGTGTATTCGAGTATCCGTCCGCGTGTTTATTAACACGGACCGTGTGTAGTTCCGCGATCGTTTGCGTCCATTATCAGGAAAACATAAGAGTTTTAGCTCAAACCACGCGGTCCGCGTGTACTCGAGTCTTCGTCCATGTGTTTATTAACACGGATCGCGTGTGTTACCTCTATCGTCTGCGTCCGTTAAACGAAAACAGAAGACATCCAGTGAAGTTCATGCAGTCTGCGTGTTATCATAACCTTGTCCGCGTGTTTATTAAAACGGACTGTTGGTGGGCAGGAGGCGACCGCGTGTCGTGAAGGATAAATCAGAATGGCTACGGGCTAACCCACGCGGACCGCGTGTACCTGACTCAGCGTCCGCGTGACTTGTTGACTAGCGTTGACTCATTTTTGACCAGGTTTGATCACCATTTAACTCACCTTATACCCAGCTTCTTCTTCTTCTCCCTAACCTCCATTAGAGAACCTTCATCTCCACCACTAAAGCTCACTTTCCCGTCAAACTGTCGGTCGGAATTTCTCGAGACCACCGCCATTCTTCTCCAAATTCAGAGCTCTACAAACCCCACTAAAACAATGGTCCGATCTGTTGCTATATCTTGGGGCGCCATCACCATCCCATCGCTACTTTCCAGCCGATTTCCGGCCAACTCCGGCCACCTCTCGCGATTCCGCCACCACCATTGTAGTCCTCTTGGGCAAGGCTACAAACCCCACCAAAAATATTTCCCAAAGCTCGCCGAAAAATTTCGCCGGAACTTCAAGCCATTGCCGGATTCCTCGGGTTTTCGCGGTAAATTGCTTCTCCCGGGATATCAAACAAAAGCTTAAAGCTTGGGGTGGAGAGTTGCAGGATTGTCAAATTCTGAATTTTCGCGCATAAACTTTGAACTTTTAACAAAAACGGGTATTTTCTTTCCTTTGTTTAATTGATCAAGATGCATGTCCGTTCATATGCTATTGTATCAAATGAATTTAGGAATCCCTTCTTGCTTTGATTATTGAATTGCTTTAGAAGCCCATAGGAAGTTAGTTGGTGATTTGGGGTTGACATATTGTTTGTTGAAATTGTGGTTCGTATAGTCGTTATTTTTTCGTGCAGGAAGTCCATGTCTACTTCTAGGAAGCGTCCGGATGCTAGCCGAGGCAAAGCCCCGGCAAGAGATCAAAGCGATGCTCCTGATGTCCCAAGGTTTCGGGATGCCAAGGCAGCCGAAAACTACACAAAGAGCTTGCCTAGAAAATTTGCATCTACCAAATTCATGTGCAAGCCCACGCTTATATCACTTGGGGTTCTCGAAGGGTTCACCAAATTGTTCCGTAACATTGGGTGGGAAAACCTTCTCAACCTCCTGACGCACATTTACGAGCTCCCCACTAGAGAGTTTCTTGCCGACAGCGGGTACGACAGCGAAAAAAAGAAAACCGCATTCCAGCTTCTAGGGGACCGAAGGTACATCGATTTTGCAGTGATAAATGACATCTTAGGCTTGCCTTCTTCAAATACATCCACGATTTTCGACGTCCTACTTGCTGAGTTCAATCACAAGACATTTTGGACGGAAATCACCGGGGGTATCTTCTCATGTGCTGGTCGGGATAAAGCAACATCCATCATCCACCCATGCCTCCGCATTGCCCATCGCATCTAGGTGTGTACGGTTTTTGCCCGCAAAGAAGCCGGCTAGGTCACCAAAAATGAACTCTTCTTCCTTTGGTGTATGATGAGGCGTGAAAGGCCGCCAATCTCGAACTTTGCTTCATTCTTCTTCCACAAATGCGCCCACATGAGATCCAAGACGTTCGGCGATATTTGCATTGGGGAAATTGTCACACTTTTGGCTCGCGGTCTTGACATCGAGCTCCCTGATGAATTCCAGCATGTTGACAGCAAAAATCTTTTGGATGAGCGCGCCCTCATAAACATGTACCACATCCGTCGCAGGAGCAGGAACAACTTCACTTGGTTTTGTCCTCAAGGGGTCGGGTATCTCGTTCTTCCCGACCCTCGAGTCACCAACTTCACCTTCCACGATTGCACTCAGTGGAGGATCGCGAGGACCATCACTTAGTCAGTCAATGAGGATGTGATGCAAGATAAAGATGATGACGAGATACCTATGGATGATACGCCCACCCATGATCCGCAGCACGCCCAACCACAAGCCCCTCCCGGGTACTACCCGCTTCCCCCCAATTTTGCCGAGCGGTTCGAGTCGCTTTGTGTCTCAAACCAAATCATGTCCCAGCAAATGCACCATATGTGGGGGTGGCACCAATCCCAAAACCATTTTGAGAACATCCCACTTCTGCCTCCCTATCTATACCCCCCACCCACCCATCCTTATCCCCCTCCACCTTACCCTTACCCCTACCCCCAATACCCGTATCCTCCTCCCGATCCCTCGATTTAGGTACTTTCGCCTCACCACAAGCATTGAGGACAATGCTTATTTCTAAGCTTGGGGTGGGGTATTCCTTTTTCTTTTTAATTTATCATGCATTTTAATTAGGTTTCATAGCATTTTAGTATAAATTGCATTCATTTTTTTTATAAAACCCCAAAAATATTTTATTTTCTTCTTTTTCATCTTTTATTTTTGCATAGCATTTAGCTTAGGGCATTAGCATTCATGCATTTTTGTTTTCTGTTTATTCTCACCTCACTTGGATGCCATGGAACAGGTTCATAGTTATTGTATCATTATTGGTCCAAGATCTTGTTGCTATCTCACCCATCGAACCGGGACCACTAGCTACAGCTTGGGATTTCATACTTGGGATCAGATGCTGGTAGCTTAAAGGGGTAAGTGATCATGGCCATGTAGTTTTCATGAAGAATTATGAATACAATACTAATGACTATAGGATATACTATAGCACTGAATGTTTTACCCTTGCGGTCACTACCGCCGAGAGGATCACACTTGATCATGTTAGAACCGTTAGGATGAAGCACTGGTGCTTGTCCCCGAGTAGAATCCATATCCGGCCTCTTTACATCACCATATCTTTTTGCGATTTTATTAGGATTTTAGAGAGTCTTTTAGTCTATACCTGGACATTTTTATCTTTTTTTATTTGAAGTACAAAAAAAAATGTTTATAAAGGAGCTCACATTACATCTTTATGCTCGACACATGGTCATTTTCACACTAAGACCATTCGGATTATATTACTACCCTTCTAGTTCCACTTACACACTTTTGGGATCCAAATTTTGAGTAAAAGGGTTTTCTTGATTTCGATTGTTAATACATTACCTTCAAGTATGTTGTATTTATTTAAAATAAAATGGCGCCGCAACTATCTTAGGCAGGTGGCCAGTTCAATTATTGAACAAATTTTCCAACATCTCGGTCACCTGGCATTTAATATTCATTTATTTAGGATTGTATATTTGTACATAGATCGAGTTGTTTCTTTTCGCAAATTGGTGATATTAGAGAGGCTGTTGAGTTGGATACTACAGGAGGTTCGGGCCAATGCTAAGTGAGTCGATTCCTACAACGGTGCCCGAGCAATTAAACCTAGCTACACATGAGAGAAGCCGGCAGACGTGAGATCAGAGTGTGCACTTAAATAAGAGCTCCATCCGAGCCCATTCAGTCGCTTTCTCCCTACTACAGATGTTATTCACTGTATGCATTTTCCGTTGAGGCTGCGACTAACCATCCCTCCTTGCTCACCAAGAGGATTTGTCCTGGTTGTGGTTTATGATCCCATTTTCATCGGATGAAAAAGTTGTGAGATAGCAGAGGGATCAATTCTGACCATGTTGACTAACGATGAATAGGTTCCATGGTTCTATCCATTATTTTTATTTTTAGGGTAGTTCATCCCAAGTTCATTTTCGTCTTGTCTTACTTTGGGACAAGTAAGATTCAAGCTTGGGATGATTTGATAGTTTCGTTTTTATTACTTCCTTTCATAGTTTATTTTTAGTCCAAACCATCTCAGTTTAGTCAATCTTCATGCATATTTTCTCTTTTTGTCATTTTTCTCCTTCACCGAGTGCTTTCTAGTCTTTTGAGCTTAATTGCAGGATTTTTTGAAGACTATTTGTTATTGGAGGCTTAGAAGGATGCGGGACTCATGGAGGCACGTGATTTGCTTGCGGATTTAAAGTGGTGCGATTGGGCTAGGTGCTTGCGTAAAAGAAGAAATCAATATGGATATAATTCATGGGCAAAGATGATGATGAGGTGGCGCGGAATCGACCCACAAGAAAATTTGAGGAGTATTGGGTCAATCATTAGAATGCTTTGGAATGGCAAATGGGTCTTAAAGAGTTATGATTATGGGCTGAAGTTAAAGAAATGAAGATTGGGCTTAAATGCATGTTAAATGGCCCAAGTTTCACATCCAGCGTGACCCACGTGGTCCGCATGGGTCCATACGCAGTCCGTGTGAATTGTGTTTAGTTGTTTCCGGGTTTTGACTTGTTGACTCTATTTGTGGAAGTTTGGTGGGTAGCTTTTGGTCTCTTTTTTAATCTGGAAATTAGCTCTCTTTAGCTGGAGATTGGAGGCTCATTTGGGGGGACTTGAAGAACATACTCCACTTTTTTCTCTCTAAGAATCTTTGGGAAGATTTGAAGAATATTTGGAAGATTAGTGTAATTTCCTTTTATCTTACATCTAAGACAATGCTTGGTATCTCTAATCCCTCTTGTTTTTGTTTAATCTTAGCCATGCTTGGCTAGATTTTCATTTGGTTGACTTGGATGTAATTGCTTGAATGTTTTGGTTATTTTGAAGAACTCCATGAACTTGTGTTGAACATCTATGATTATATTTTCTATGAAAACTTCCTTCATGTTTATATATCTCTAGTCATGAATATTGATATATGAATGTTTTCTTTGTTGGTTAAATTCTTGGCTAAGTAATGGGTCTTCAATTTAACAAGCAATAATTAGTTTAAATGTTTGTTTTCATTTCATTTAGACTAAGAAAATATTTTCTCCATAGTGGTAATGAAAGCAATAGATTACTCTTGGGATTTGGTGACTCTTAAAACCTAATGCTAATTGATTTTCACAAAATTACATGCTTCATTAGTTTTGTGACTTTGATTTAGGAAATGTGCTATGAGCTTCTCTAGTCATTTTAATACAAAAGAAAAGTTGAGGCAAGTTATGCTTATAAATTGCTATAGCCAAATTAGATTATAAACACAAGTATTGCACCTTGGTATTCTTATGTTTTAGTTAACCAAATGTTCAAGTAATGAAAGTCTAAAGTCAACCGTCTGTCTCCTATTGATTTTACATCAAACTTTTCTTTTGTTGAATTGTGTTTTTAAAGGTTAATGTAATTCTAGTTTAATTTTAAACATCTTGAAATATCAAAATCCCCCAATTTTATTTTATTTTAGTTTTACAAGTGTTTGTACACCAAGATTATCATAGAAGTAACAAATTGAACCAATCTCCGTGGATACGATCCCTTTACCACTATACACTATTTTAGTGTGTAATATTTAGGGTATTTATTTTGTTGGCCTCGACAACCACCATCGATCAAGGCAATAAATATCGTTGGTGATAAATCTATATATGTCTATGTGGTGGTTGAAGAAGGCGTATTGCGTAACGAAGTGGATGACAGAGGAAAGGTATCTACACCTAATTTATCAAGTGGAAAAGGGAGCAACAACCCAATAGGTAATTTTAAAAGTCCAAGTAAAAGTCAATATCATAGTGTTGCTGAAAATGTAAATGTATTGCCAGAACCGATTATGTATGTTACACTGGAGAATTATAAGTATATCGGTGATAATGATGTTTGTACATATGTTAATGATGTTGGTGCAAATAATAACTTTGACCAAAAAAAGCACTAGACGTGGTGGATAAGGTTGGCAATGAATCTGGAAAACAAGAAGTTCCATTTTTGCATGATGGTGAACTAAAAGGCTATGGCGAGTTTGCAGATTGTGACAAGTTGGATATATCCGGCCTAAAGAGTGATTCTAACAGAGAAAATTTTGATGATGAACCTAAACTTATTTATTCAGATACCATGTTTCATGGTATGTCACCATTGCCTTCGTGTCCTGTAAACGATAATGTGAACATTCCATGTCAGAGGTTGGATATAAATGAAAAGATTAAGGTTCTAGACATTTTTGATGACAAAGAGTTGCTCAAGCTTGCAATTGGAACACAATGCATGGAACAAGGTAAGCAGTATAAGACAACTAGATCGAGCAAAGAAAGGTTCGAGGTGGTTTGTTTGGTAGAAAATTGTTCTTGGATGGTTAGGGCAAGGGGAATCAAATCGACTACTGTTTTCCAAGTCACAAAAGTTGTTCACCAACACACATGTTGTGCAACAAACTTAGAGTCTAATCATCGACAATCAAAGAAAAAGGTACTCGGCCACTTTATCACTGAAGTACTGGCCGGAGATTATAATAGAGTTTATTGGGGTCAATATCTCATACCAACAGGCATGGCGTGCAAAACAATATGCGTTGTTGATGTTAAGAGGTACCAAAGAGGATTCATTCACCAAACTACCAGCGTATCTACATAACTTGGTGAAGCATAATCCAGGAACTGTTACTCAGATAAGAACAAACGTTGATGATCGCTTTGAGTTTGTGTATATCGTGTTGGGTTGGTCGGTAAGTAGTGATACTTTTT